ATCATCATTATTATTATCATTATCATTATTATTATCATTATTATCATCATTATTATTATCATTATTATTATCATTATCATTATTATCATTATTATCATCATTATTATTATTATTATCATTATTATTATAATTATTATCATCATTATTATTATCATTATCATTATCATCATTATTATTATCATTATTATTATTATTATCATTATCATTATTATCATATCAGTATTATCATCATTATTATTATCATTATTATCATCATTATTATTATCATTATTATTATCATTATCATTATTATCATTATTATCATCATTATTATTATTATCATTATTATAATTATTATCATCATTATCATTATCATTATCATCATTATTATTATCATTATTATTATTATCATTATCATTATTATTATCATTATATCAGTATTATCATCATTATTATTATCACTATTATCATGATCATCATTATGCTCATCATTATTATAATCTTTATTATTAATAATAATATGAACAAGACTGGTAATATAAATATTAATAATAATAATAATTAATGTTAATATAAATGATAATATATTTAGTTATGTTATATATATTTAATATATTAATATTAATATTTTATATAATGCTTAATTATACTTATAATTAATCCAATTAATAATAATATATAGCTATAATATTGATATAATATAATTATTATTGCTGTTTACATCTCATATTTTTATTCTGTTTAGGGGTTCATTCTTATCATTAATTTTACTGATTAGTTTATTATTATCCCTGGATCCTGATTCCCGCAGGGACTGGGCAAACCGGGACAGCCCCAGCTCCCTCTGGAATTCCCTCTGGAATTCCCTCTGGAATTTTCCCCTGCACTTCATCGGAAAATTCTGATTCCTGAAGGGAAAACACAAAACCCTGGGCGTCGTTCCCTGCGCTCCCCCCTCGCTGGGGGATTTTGGGATTCGCTTTCCCAATGGATTCCTTTGGAAACCAGGCCTGGCTTCCCAAAAATACTGGGAAAATCCCAAAAATACTGGGAAAATCCCAAAAATACTGGGAAAATCCCATAAATACTGGGAAAATCCCATAAATACTGGGAAATCCCATAAATACTGGGAAGATCCCATAAATACTGGGAAATCCCACAAACACTGGGAAGATCCCACAAACACTGGGATGATCCCACAAACACATACCCTGTGATCCCTCTCCCATTATCCCGGTGTCCTGTGATCCCTCTCCCGTTATCCCTGCGGGTTTCCAGCATTCCCGGGATCCGCTCCCGGGGCAGTCCCGGGATCCGCTCCCGCTCCCGGGGCATTCCCAGGATCCACTCCCGGGGCATTCGCGGGATCCACTCCCGGGGCATTCCCGGGATCCGCTCCCGCTCGCGAGCCATTCCCGGGATCAGCTCCCGGGGCATTCCCTGGATCCGCTCCCGGGGCATTCCCGGGATCCACTCCCGCTCCCGGGGCATTCCCAGGATCCGCTCCCGGGGCATTCCCAGGATCCACTCCCGGGCCATTCCCGGGATCCGCTCCCGCTCCCGGGGCATTCCCGGGATCCACTCCCGGGCCATTCCCAGGATCCGCTCCCGGGCCGTTCCCGGGATCCGCTCCCGCTCCCGGGGCATTCCGGCTGGGCGGGAAAGCGATCCCAGAACGTGCGGGGAAATCGGGAATGTTTGTTTTCTGGGCTTTGGGATAACTCCTGGATCCCAGCCCAGCACTGGGAATTCCAGGAAATGCGGGGATTTTTCCCTGGAGCGTTGTTGGTCCCGCGGCTCCTGGAGCAGGAATTCTCCTCTCCAGCCTGGAATAATGGCCCGTCCTGGTCTCCTTAGAAACCGCTCCGCATCCCTCCGGAGCCTCCTCCCGCTCCCGGGGCTTCTCCCGCCGCCGATTCCCTGGAAATTCTCCAAATTTCTCCAAATTTCTCCAAATTTGATCAGGGCTTGTGCTTGGATTTATTATTTTTTTGTGTCGCCTCAATGCGATTTTAACGATTTTTGTGTCTCCATCCTCCGGCAATCCTGAATCCTTCGGGAATATTTTTAGTTCCTCCCCTCCCTCCTTCCCTCCCTTCCCCGGTCGCTCCCGTTTTTTCCTGGAAAAGCGAAATTTCCCAGAGCTTTTCCAAACTTTCGGGGCTCCGTGAGGAAAAGTCTCCTGGTGGATTTTGGATCCTCCGTGGATTTTGGGAAGCAGCTCCTGGCTGGGTGTGGGGAGCTCATCCTGAAACTCCTCCAGCAGCCGGCAGAGCTCCGGAGAAGGGATTTATTCCGGGAATAAATAAATTTCGGGAAGCGCAATCCCTGACCCGTCCCGTGAGGAGGGGAAGGAATTTTTGGAGCTGTGCCGGTGCTCTGGATTCGCGGAGTTCGGGGGAAAAGGGAAGGGAAGCGGCTTTTTTTGGTCTTTTCTGGAGGAGGGAATGTGCCAAGGGAAGTGGGAGACGGAAGTTTGGGTGTCTGGGAAGGGGAGGAGGTTGGGAGTGCCCCAAAAATAGGAGCCTGAAATTTGGATATCCGGGAAGGGGAGGAGATTGGGAATACTCGGCAGCCGGGAATGCCCAAATAGGTGAGAGACGGAGTTTGGATGTCTGGGGAGGACGAGGAAATTGGGAATACCACAAAAATGGGAAACTGAGGTTTGGATTCCTGGGGAAGGGGAGGGAGTTGGGAATACCCAGAGAGGAGGGAGGCTGGGAATGCAGCTGGAGCCCCTTCCCGGTCCCTGGAAGGAGCTGGATCCGGGCCTGGCTCGGGGCCATCCCCCATTCCCAGGCGCTCACGTTGGTTTTTCCTGGCCCTGCGACACTTCCAGGAAAAACTCGGTGCCTCCGGGAACGCTTTATTCCCTTCCCAGGGCGCTCCCTGCTCCTTCCCTGGGAATGAAATCCCCGGGTCTGAGCTCCGGTTCCCGGCCCTCAGCCCGGGAACGGCGGCACCGGGAGCCGGGAGCGGGGCAGGGATCGGGGCAGGGATCCGGGGATGGATCCGGAGATGGATCCAGGGATAGATCAAGACAGGGATCAGGGGATGGATCTGGGCAGGGATCAGGACAGGGATCAGGACAGGGATCAGGAGAGGGATCAGGAGAGGGATCAGGGCAGGGATCAGGGCAGGGATCAGGACAGGGATCAGGACAGGGATCAGGACAGGGATCAGGACAGGGATCAGGACAGGGATCAGGACAGGGATCAGGAGAGGGATCAGGGCAGGGATCAGGACAGGGATCAGGACAGGGATCAGGAGAGGGATCAGGGCAGGGATCAGGACAGGGATCAGGGCAGGGATCAGGACAGGGATCAGGACAGGGATCAGGACAGGGATCAGGACAGGGATCAGGGCAGGGATCAGGGCAGGGATCAGGACAGGGATCAGGACAGGGATCAGGACAGGGATCAGGACAGGGATCAGGAGAGGGATCAGGACAGGGATCAGGGCAGGGATCAGGACAGGGATCAGGACAGGGATCAGGACAGGGATCAGGACAGGGATCAGGACAGGGATCAGGGCAGGGATCAGGACAGGGATCAGGACAGGGATCAGGAGAGGGATCAGGGCAGGGATCAGGGCAGGGATCAGGGCAGGGATCAGGACAGGGATCAGGACAGGGATCAGGACAGGGATCAGGACAGGGATCAGGACAGGGATCAGGGCAGGGATCAGGACAGGGATCAGGACAGGGATCAGGGCAGGGATCAGGACAGGGATCAGGGCAGGGATCAGGGCAGGGATCAGGACAGGGATCAGGGCAGGGATCAGGACAGGGATTCGGGCAGGGATCAGGACAGGGATCAGGACAGGGATCAGGACAGGGATCAGGGCAGGGATCAGGAGAGGGATCAGGGCAGGGATCGGGGCAGGGATCGGGACAGGGATAGGGACAGGGATCGGGACAGGGATCAGGACAGGGATCAGGACAGGGATCAGGGCAGGGATCAGGAGAGGGATCAGGGCAGGGATCGGGGCAGGGATCGGGACAGGGATAGGGACAGGGATCGGAGCAGGCTGTGAATCCTCGCCCGGGGAGCCGCGTGGATCCCTGGCCGTGCCCGCCGGGATTGCTGCAGCCCCGAGCCCCCGGGAGACAGGAGAGCCCCCACCCGTCCCGGCTCCTCTCCATCCCGGGAGCCTTTGGGATGGGAAAACTCATCCTCGGCTCCCGCAGAAGCGGGATCTGGGGCAGCCGAGGGGTGTCCGGGGACCGGCGGCACCAGCGGGGCTTTTCCCCCTTTCCCGAGCTCTTCCCGGTCTCCGGGTGTCGCGACCCTCCCTCCGGAGCCCTTTTTCCCTGGAATCACCGACCCCGATCCAGGCAAATCCATTATTGCACTGAGGAACTCGAGTCCCGGCCGCGGCTTTCTGTCCCATTCCCACATCCCAAATCCAGCCCTTGCTCCACATCCCGGTCCGGAGAGGGAGCCTGGAGAGCTCCGCCGCTGCCCCTCTTCCCAGCGGGGAAATCGGGAAACGCCTGCGCTTTCCAGGGAGCATCCCCCGCTCCAAAGCCACCCCCATCCCGCCCCGGCACCCGCGGGACCCCGGGAATGGCGATCCCGGGAACGGGGGATCCCGGGAACGGGGGATCCCGGGAATGGGGGATCCCGGGAATGGGGGATCCGGGAATGGGGGATCCGGGAATGGGGGATCACGGGAATGGCGATCCCGGGAACGGGGGATCCCGGGAATGGGGATCCCGGGAATGGGGGATCCGGGAATGGGGGATCCGGGAACGGGGGATCCCGGGAATGGGGGATCCCGGGAATGGGGGATCCGGGAATG